GCATTCCCCCGGAGGAGCTGGAGGAAGTGTCTGGAGGAGAGAGGGAAGTCTGGGCATCTTTGCTTAGACTGCTGCCCCCATGACCCGGTTCCGGATAAGCAGAGGAAAATGGATGGATGGATGGATCTCACCCTCTCATGAGGTACTCCTACATACAGCAAAGGAAAAAAGTCGCTGCAGGCTGAGATCGGTCCTCTTGTGTCTGACAGTCTGACTTGTTTGCTGAGATCTAAAGATATGTTTAATAAATTTAATTCATGCAAAACCTCCACCAACCTGTCATACCATGTACAACTCACCCTCTGTGTGCAGGCGTGGTGCAGGTGACGCCTCCCCCACTGAGTAATCACCCTGACTGCAAAAACAAAAGAACAGAATAACTGTAAATTATACACATTGCAGCAAAATGCATTCAGACTTGATTCATTCACGGCGGCTACAGAAGTGAGCACAGCCCTGGTCGGTGTCAGTAAACAGTTCACTCTCCATTTAATCCAGTTTAATGTGTTTTTTAGTCAAATCCCAGGGAGAATGAAGCCGAGGTGTTAAAAAAAAGTCAGGGGACACACTTGGCCTGGTCATAGTTTTGCTGTGTTCTTCTTTAAGAGCTCTTGCCTGGATTTTGTGGTGTGTCTTGGCTCCTTGTCATGTTGAGACTGGGAGTCGCCTTTTTGTTCAGTGTTGGTGGGTATAAACTTCCATCCCTGGTGCCACCTGCCACACTCCTGCAGCCACACATCAGCACACTCCCACCTATGTCAGCTCTGTGCAGCCGCTGTGGTCGCCCTGCCAGATCCACACCTAACATGCTGGACACGGAGAGGCTGTGTAAATATGAACCTGCTAACCACTGCTGCAGCTGTGCTCCAGTAGTTACCGATGCTCTGACACCCTCTCCATCTTTATCAACTCTTATTCTGTGTTTTCACCTTGTTAACTATCTTCAGTCTCACTGTTTGTCCTGAGGTTCATCCTGTGCTGTGATTTTTCAGTGGGTTTCTGTCCAGTGTGGTGTCCCAGAAGGACAGTGCCATGAATCGGGCGGAGCGAGGCCACGTGACGCTTTCTCAGGTGGGTGAAATGATGGACTGCTTACTCTGAAAATGTTCTACAGCTGATTTATCTGCACTCATTGTTTTACCCATCTGAGTAGATGATCCCGGTGTTCGAGGAGGAGTGTGTGAAGGAGGCCCAGGTCAGGGGTGTGACTCTGCCATCTGATTGGTCAGCCAGAGGCCTGCTGGAGGAGCTCAGGAAGGTGATGATGGACATCCAGCCAGCTGTGTTGAAGACAGCTGCCAGTCTGCGCCGCAACGGTACACAACAGCACACAACAGCACACAACAGCACACACAAACACGTTGACACTGGTATGAATATGAAACTGAAAATGTAAAGCCTGTCTATAAAATGACGTCACAGCATTTTTTAGATATCCACAATGTTATGACTAGTCAAAACTTGAAATATAAATTCAAAGTCAAAGTGTTTATTTGTCATATACACAGTCAGGAAACATGTTTCTCTGTACAATAAAATTCTTACTTTGCCATCCACATGAATATCACATAATACAAATGAAATATAAAGTAGATGAGCAATGACACAAATCTAAGGCACTTTAGAGCAGCAAGTGAAAGAAGCACAATAAAAATACAACAAGAACACAATATAATGCAGAGAGAATATATGCTACGTGGGAGCCATGAAGTGCCAATATTCAGCATTGAGTGTGCAATTATGCATGTGTAAACAGAGTATGTAAACAGTACAGATGGAATTAGTGTTAGAAAACGCTCACATACGGGAAGGTGAGTGAACGGAAAAGAACAGACCCAGAGGGCTAACTTTGGTGCAAGCAGAGTTAATAAGCGCTGTACAAATATTTACAAGTGCAGTGATAAACAGGACAAGAGTACTGAGGGTAAAGTCTATGAAACCGGGTGTTGAGTCAGTCACTAGTGGGTTTCAGAGAAGGTGGGCCGAGCTGCAGAACAGCAAAGGTCACTTACTGGCTGGCCGGTGGAGGTGGAAACAAGCTGAGGAGTGTAATACCCCACTTCTTTTATCGGACAGATCTGAAAAGGATTGCAAAACACAACCCAGGGCTCCCTCCTTCAGACAAGCTGCTGGAGAAGAGAGCAGAAAAAGAGATCCCGGAAACACAGAGCCTAATACATTTATCAGTTTTTGGGCTAACCCCTTACACAGATGAAGTCCGTCCAGCAGACTCCATCTCTTATCTAGAGCTCCACAGGCTTGGAGCAGCTGCATATTACCTAGTCATAACAAAATGAAGAATTCCGTGTGTGTGTGTGTGTGTGTGTGTGTGTGTTGTTGTTACGTGTAACTAAAACAATCATTCAGACATAAATCTAACACAAGATTAATACAAGAAAACAATTGGTGTCATGGCTTACTGCTAACCTTGAAACAGAACAGACTAGAGCAGACTTTGAATCTTATTAAAGTCTAATAATTATCTGACTGATTTATTAATTTCTAACAGGAGACAGAGTAGAGGATGATTGTGAGTGGAGGCAGCTTGTAGGACTGTGCATCGACCCGACTAGTGGAGACTGGAAGGGCGATGAGGCATATGGTCCGGGGAAGGTAGCCCGTAGTTGTGATGGTGAAGACGAGCAGGAGAGGTGTAGTGAGGAACTGGGGAAAAGCAGGTAATAATCCAGAATGCAAACTAGTGACACAAGAAAAACACAAAGATGAGATGAACAAAGTGGTGCGGGTTTTTGGTGTTGCATCCAGTTCTTTTTACCATGCTAACTCTGAGAGACAAGGCAGTCCAAGTAACTTCAAAACAGTGCTGATTTATTCAATGAACACAGGTAAAAATTAACATTACACGCTCAGGTATCTTGCACCTCCAACATGCACGCAGGCAGCTGAAAGATGAAAGACCCTGAACCACAACAGGCCTATACATTATATCACTTCGGGCTAACCCCATTCTACACAGCAGAGAGAGACGCCAAACCGTGACGTCTCCCAGGGACAGCTTTGCAGTTGGCCAGAGCAGTAGCCAAAGCATGAGGAAAATCAATGTGTGATTGTCTGTTGATTATGTGGTGTGTAGCTAAAAACATTCTAACACGACCTCTAGTGACATGTCGTGACATTAAACATAAGAAAATATTATGGCTAAGGCTACAGTTATACACGTCATAATAATAATATTAAACATTCTGTCTTCTAACAGTCATCAACTTTCTATCTAGTTATCCTTGACCATAAGCATCCTGCAGCAACTCATGAGAATGACTAAGAATTCTAACAGCCATGAGCCAGACACCCTGTCTACTCTAAACATTTCTAATACATCAAGTATCTAACCAATATCTAGCTGACTAAAAATACCTAACATCGGCATGAAAGCAACGGCGAACTGGCAAGGGAAAGGTATGTGAGCTGGGCTTAAGTAGGGTGAAGGACTAAGTGAATGCAGCTGGTGTTGATTAAGGAATGTGTGGCAGGTGTGCAAAGCTGAGTGAACAGATACAGAAGAAACAAGAGAGGGAGGCGACAGAGGGAAACCTCCTCAGCCTCCTCAGGAAGTACAGCCGCAGTTATCTGCAGTTACATTCTGACTGGCCACGTGCAGTGGCTGTGAGGCTGATCAGCCTGCTGCTGTAGACTTATCTTATAAACCAGTACTGAACCAACAACACAGGATTGGACTGGGCTGCACTTTCAAACCGAATGCGCTGAAGTCATGCTAAATAATAACCAGACTGTGAAACTGTTGTGATGCTGCTGGTCAACACACTACATTAAACTGAACGCATTTCAAGCATCTGACTTGAGTCATTGTGCATTGGCAGGTTTTCTCATTGTCTCCCATAATACTACATTAAAACTGTGGAACCAAACAACCTTTAGAAGCCACTGTCTCAGCGCAGCAGCTGCCAACAGCTGCTTACCCTCCAAACGTTTTCCTTCTTTTGGTTGCCTAGGTTTTGTGTTTTTGATGACATTATTGCTTTAGCGTTCACTTTAAGTCATCAAGTGCGGGAGCAGGCTAAACCACTGCCAAATGTGGTGATAGTGGTAACAATGGAACAAATCCAGACTGCAGAGCCCAGCTAGTTCCCCTGTCCCCTCGCTGTCATAGCTCCCACTCCGGTCATCCAGGATTTGAACCCTCTCCTACCTACTGAGAATCACAGGCTTAAGCATCTGTTTCCCGACCCCTCAGGGTTACTGACAGCAGTGCTGGCCAATCACTGGCTAGATGACACCGCGGCAGGAGATGGTCCAGCTCGCCTCCTCTCTCTGCTGGGTGGCCATTTTGACCTTGTCCTCCAGTCCTGCCGCTCAGGTCACAGGGTCCCTGAGCCCGCCATCTTTAGCTCCGCCCTGCAGCACCTGGGAGTGACATCACAACAGGTAGAGGACATGTCACTGTCTCGTAAATGAACACGTATCAGTCCCACATCTCTTGTTCTAGTCCTCATGATAATTCCTTTAGATGTGTAATAATTTAGACACAAAGCTACAGATGTGTTCAATAGACAATCTGAGCTATGTTTACTTGTATGACATGACAGCACACTATGCACCTACTTGTTATACTCTGAAGTTTTCTTAACTGTTTCAAAAGATAAAAGGTCAGTATATCAAGGTCAGAGTCTGTCTTAGTGAAACCAGTGGGAGATAAACCGAACTGATTTCACACTTTACATCAGGAAAAAGGCTCTAAATGCTACAGACACAGAAACCCCTGCCTGAAGGACAAAAGGAAGTTACCAGCTTAGTACCTGTGTGTGTGAGCCGCTGCTTCACGTTTGCTTGGTTTCATTCCAGGCACTGTGGTTGGATGCAGACGAGCAGGGTGTGAAGGCAGCAGAAGGAATGGGGATGAAGGCCATCATAGTGGAAAATCTGGACAATGCCCTGGACAAACTGGCCAACCTTACTGGAGTTCAGGTACAGACCACTGTGCAGGTTTGAACTGTGGAAGATAATAAAACAGCTGGGACAGAATTAGACATGTTGGCAATGTCTGTCTAAAGTCGAGTGTAACTGTCACCTGTTTTCTGCCTAACACTGTTGTTTGTCAGTGGTTTGACCAGTTTTTTCTGTGTAGCACAGCGTTAAAAACAAGTGTGCTAAGGCTAGCATGCTAACACACAGTATGTGTGTTTCAGGCTGTTGCAGCAGACAGTCCTCCACCGTCCTGCAGACCCGAGGATGTGTCTCATGGATACGTCTCCATCAGGGTAACCCTCAGTGGCAGCAGCTCATTTTACAGCTGAGATGTTGGTGCCCTCTAACATTTACTGGACGATTCTTCTCTGTGTGTCTCAGCCTGGTGTGAGGACTCATTACGTGGAAATGGGCTCAGGTCCATCAGTTCTGCTGTGTCACGGTTTCCCTGAGAGCTGGTACTCCTGGAGGCACCAGGTAACCTGTCTGTGTGTCAGGTTCAGTCTGACCCTGTGAGTCTTGTGTCGGGGAGAGAAACGGCTTGATCCCTTTTAACAGGTGAGAACATGTATCAAAATAGTGCCGGTCCAGTCTATCCGCCCCACAGCAGTGGTCGTCAGGTTACGACTTAGTCAGCATGCTGGCCCCTGCATCACAATTAGTTGAAAATCCTTGTAACAAACAGATGCTTAAATCATCCTGTGATGAACAATAAAACGGACTCAGCTAAAGTCTCAGACGAGTCCCACAGCAAAACAAAGTCTCTCCTATAAACTCACCTGTTTCTAATGAAAAGTGTCCCAGCTAAAGATCTTTCTGGTGACCTGTTGTTCAACCTGTTCTGAAGTCAGTACGTTCAGAGCTTCCCATCTGGTCTCATCTCCATGAACAGCCAAAGCTGGTCTTATAGCTCTGTGCTCCAGCAGTTCAGGACACACTGAGTGTCCTCAAGGATCTGGTTGAAGTGCTACAACAGGAGAACAGACTAGTTTAACAGTGCAGTGTACCACATTAACACGTCTGCATGTTACTACGAAACGAAGCCATTTGAGTCCATGCTCACAGTGTGGGTATCTCTCTGGCAGATACCAGCCATGGCCGCAGCAGGGTTCAGGGTGTTGGCTCTGGACATGAAGGGATATGGAGAGTCCACAGCGCCCCCAGGTGGGTGTGGCTGTTCAAACAAAATCACCATTCTGTGGTCGCTTTGTGTCTCGTTCAGTAGGTCTTCACATGTCACTGACTGTAATTCACCTCACACTCACAGAAATAGAGGAATATTCTCAGGAGCAGCTCTGCAAGGTACCAGTGCACCACAACACACATACACACACACATACACACACCTCTGTCTGGTTGGTACCATGTTAATGTTGGTGTTGTTGTTTTCTAGGATTTGATCACATTTATGGACAAACTGGTGAGAAGTAACAGCATGTTACACACTCTGAGCTCAGCTGCACACTGTTCTGTCACATTACATTATGAAAGCGTGTCCACTAATCAGCATCAGTACACAGACAGTGACAGCAGTGTGTTTATGTCACTGCAGCTACTGGTGACTGCCTCACAGTTAATGCATTCATGTGGGCCCTTTCCTTCTCTGTCTGGTCTAGTCCATACCACAGGTCACCCTGGTGGGTCATGACTGGGGCGGCTTCCTGGCATGGACCATGGCTCAGTATGCTCCTGAGAGGGTCAGGTAGACAAACACCAGCACACCAGCAGATTCCCTGGGTGTTTTATCTTGAAGCAACATGTCTTTTTTCTTGTGCATGAAGAGCCGTTGCATCTCTGAACACCCCTTTGTTCCGGGAGGACCCGTCTGTGCCTCCTGCAGAGAAACTCAAGGCTGTTCCCATATTTGACTATCAGTTCTACTTCCAGAAACCAGTAAGTCGATCTGCTGCAGGACAGCTCATGAACACAATAAAAAACACCCGCATAGCTCAGTTAGGCATTGAAGGCTACAGATAGCTGTGTGGACATGGCTTCCTCTGATTTGGTGTGATGTCACTGTCATGGATGAAACAGTACATGACAATACATTTTTACCAAATAGAAGTTGAAATAGCGCACATCCAACCAATCAGAACCAACATGCTTCACAAATCGTTGCTGAGAGTTTGTTGTCTATAGCTTTAGTTTTGTTCTCTTGCTCACCTGCATCATCTCCAGGTGTTCTCCAGCTCTCTGGTAATACTTTATTGTATCTCAGTATCAGCGGTTGTCCTGCCATTTTTACTGAATCAGTGCTTCACAACAACAAACCATTTTCAGGCAGCTGCTGCTTCGCGCCAGCCTGTGCTGCAGGGAACTTCACTCCCATCACTCACCAGTATTTCACATCCAATGACCTGGATAACATGTCTGAATGTACAGTATAAATTTGCCCTACTGCTGGTGCAGATATGAAGTTTTTTCATTCTGTTTGTCTTTCTCTCTCTGAACTTTTGTTTTTAACCACTCATCCTTATTCTGCCCAGAAAGAGACAGGATAGATACTGTGGCAGTCTCATGTCCTAGTGTGGTTAGCTTAGCTTAGCATAAAGACCGGAAGCAGGGGGAAGCTGCTAGCCTGGCTCTGTCTACACCTGGAAAGCTCAGTAGTTTACCAAGATATATGTTGTTGATCAATTTACAAAGAAACATGTTAAAAGGACCATTGGTAGATCTTGGGGGGAGGGGAGACAACAGCAAGCTGAGACCTTCACTGCTGTTTCCACGTGACAAAGCTTTGGCTGTGTAGACTAGATAACACAGAGGGTTTCTGTGCATTTCAGGGAGTCGCAGAGGCCGAGCTGGAGAGAAACTTGGAGAGAACGTTCAATATCTTCTTTTCCTTTAGCAGTGGCGCAGTGAGTGCACAAACACACACATAACACACATCATCAGATCTGCAAGTCACCTCTGTCTCATGCTGTGGTTGTGTTTTCTCCTCAGGCGATAACTGAAAAAATTAGCACTGCAGGAGTCTGTGCACGAGGTGACTAACAGACGCTGACAGGTTAACGTTCACTAGGATTCATCTCCTTCACTGAAAACAGCAACATGTTCTATTTGTGCTACAGGCGGTCTGTTTGTGGGTCTACCCGAGCAGATCTCCAGGAGCCCCTTGCTGACAGAGGCCGACCTGCAGTTCTACATCAGCCAGTACAAAGACAACGGCTTCAGGTCAGACCGAGTGAACAGGGCACACAGTGCAGTACGCCAGAACCAATCAAGCCTCGAGATATCTCAGGAAATGTTTACCTGAACACCAAGAAGTTTTAAGTTGATCTGGTGTGAAACCAGTGCTGCTGTGCAGGCGGGCTGACAGTGATTCACAACGTACCACTGACCGCTTCTGGATTAGACAGAGGAACCAGGACTTTTCATGGGCTAACAATGCCTTATGTCCCACTGTTAAGAGCAGTGAAATGACAGGACTATTGTCCAAACATGACTTAACAAAACGCAGTTTCTTAACAAAGCTCAGACTCGGGAGTACCCCTATATGCCCCTTCTCTGGTTTCGAGCACAGAGAACAGAACAGAACCATAACCTGCAGCCATTTTAGTAACAAATTTGTTTTTCAAGCCAAGTACCTTTTAGGTCTTTTGTGACAGAAAATGAATGTGTTTAGCTTCTTGGTGGATGGCCACACAAAACTAGAAACTAAATTACATTAATTTGGACTTATGACAGGAGTTTTACACCGTTTCCTCACTGACCAGTTTTACCACACTCGTAACACGGTTGGGCCTCAGGTCAGCTCCGATGTCCCATTCCTTTGCCTCTACCTCTGCCTCTGTATGCACCTCCTCCCCTGGGTCCAGGACTCTGTTCACTCTGGAAATAAACAGCACAAACTTCTCCTCCCCCGGGACCTGTTAACACAGATGCACCAGACTTCATTCTGCCTTCTTTCTGTTTATTAAAATGTCTCTCTGCATGTTTGGTGGATTCTAAAGTATCATTCAGTGAGCGATGATTTACCTGATGTTCTTGTAACAAATCTGCTGATTTTGGGCAGACAGCCTCTCAAATCAGGATTCAATCAGAGGCAGTGTATCGGCCACATACGCTCTTGGCGGTGGAACTGGTTTTCATTCAGGGCTAAAGATTCACAACATTCATGTGGTTGCTACAATATACAGTGGCACAACAGCTTTGTTATTATGATTTAGGGCAGACAATGACCCATACGGAGATTCATCCTTGCCATATTTCATTTATATGTTTTATGGTATTTTGGTCTGAAAATACTCTATTGGATATATGTTCTTTCTTTTGGACAGTGCAGCTTCCGAGTCGGGTGGAGCGGAGGGTCCTGGACTCACCTCTACTCGGGTACTTCTTCTTCTTCTTTCGGCTGTTCCCGTTAGGGGTCGCCACAGCGAATCATCTGTTTCCACCTAACTCTTTCCTCGGCATCCTCTACTCTCACCCCAACTAACTTCATGTCCTCTTTTAGGACATCCATATATCTCCTCTTTGGCCTTCCTCTTGACCTCTTGCCTGGCAGCTCCATCTCCAACATCCTTCTACCAATATAACCACTATCCCTTCTCTGCACATGTCCAAACCTTCTCAATCTGGCCTCTATGACCTTGTCCCCAAAACAGCCAACCTGAGCTGTCCCTCTGATGTGCTCATTCCTAATC